CCCCCCCCCCCACCGCCCATTTCTCTGGCCCAAAGCCTTTCCTTCATTCCTGTCGCAGGCCTCACACGCGAATCTCCGACCTCACTACTGCAAACGCAAACGTCCCCCAAGGAAACACCCTCTGCTTTAGTGAGCGGACACCAGCTCTCTGGGCACGGATGGCAGACTGTCCTCGCCCCAGGGTGAGAGCGAGGTCATTCCACTCTAAATAAACAGCTCTTTGGTGGTGGTTAATAAATTAATTTTTAAAGAAAGGTTACCGCTAGGAATGGAAGCAAGGCCTTCCGCCCCTCCCTGAGGGCACTGCCCAGTGGAGATAAGGGCATCACCTCAGAGGCCCCCCTCCCCTAGTTGGAGGGGCTGCCATATTTACCCACAATTTCTCTGCACAGCTGGGGTCTGGAGGCAGAAAGCTTCCCTCTAACATGGCGGCCTGTCTACCCCATTTCCAGAAGAGCACGCTCAGGTGTAAAAAACATCACCCAGTAATTAACTATCCAGTTCTGGGGAGGGCCCACTTCTCACACAATTACCATAAAACAAGGAGGCCAGTTCAGACACAGAAAACCAACTCTGCAGATGAGGTGAGAACCAGGTGCTGTGAACCTCAGAGCCTGAACACTCGGTTGGCTGTGGAATTGAGTCAGTGGGAGACCCCAGGTCTCCCAGAACTTCTCCTCCTGTACTGTCGGCCCACCTTAGATGTGGACCCCGCAGGAAACTGGACGGGTCTCCCGATACTCCCATTTGCCGTCATTTTCTAAACACTTTTTTAAAGGCTGCGACATGGAAGGGTAAAATGAAACCGGAGCTACTGGCAGAAAGCCCATTCCCGTGCAATTAACACATTGTAACTTTTTAAAACAATAACAACACATTCAATATCTTGTAAAAGCCTATAGTGGAAAAGAATCTGACAAAGGGGCTTCCCTGGTGGCGCAGTGGTTGAGAGTCCGCCTGCCGATGCAGGGGACACGGGTTCGTGCCCCGGTCCGGGAGGATCCCACGTGCCACGGAGCGGCTGGGGCCGCGGGCCCGTGGGCCGTGGCCGCTGAGCCTGCGTGTCCGGAGCCTGTGCTCCGCAACGGGAGAGGCCACAACAGTGAGAGGCCCGCGTACCGCAAAAAAAAAAAAAAAAAAAAAAATCTGACAAAGAATATATATAAAACCGAATCACTGTGCTGTACACCTGAAACTAATAGAACATCGTGAATCAACTCTACACACACAAACACACACACACACACACCCCACAATGTTCTGAGGGATTCTCTAAGATTCCAGCTGTCTTTGTCCGACTTTAAACAATCCCACAGTGAAAGCATTAGATTCAGAAGCAATGTGCTCTCCTAGCCCTTATTTTGTTGGAAATTATTTCTTCAGAGTCGTATTCCTGTTCATTTATGCAGCCGGACCATTTCCAAGGACTTAAGCACCGCAGGCCATAAGCTACAACTAAGCCCCCATCTCATTTCAGAAACCAACATACCAGTCTCTCTCCTTGGTAGACACATGGTGACTATTTCTGGAGCTAGAACATGGGGGCCACAGAGCTGGATCTGCAAGGGGTTTTAAAACTGAGTGTGCTATTCTGTGTTCTCTCCTTCTAGCCTCAGAATGACCCATCCCAGGAGGAAGCAATAAGAATGGAACCCTTTTTTTTTTTTTTTTTTTCCTGCGGCTGGCTACCCCATTCTCATCACTTTTGACATTTCTTCTTTGGCATTTTGTCTCACTAGGGGATTTTGGCCAAGTTGGGATACCATAGTCCAAAGCAGACAAGAGACCCTTTGGTCAGCATACTGGTTGGTCTCATTGGGCCATCAGAGGGAGTTACAAGGCCAGGGCCCCTGGAATAAGTTCTTCTATGTCTTCCTAGCACACGTGGCAATTGTAAATTAAGGAGTCACTTGTGTGAAGACATGTTCCACACCCTCACTCAACAGCCACGCCCCAACTGTTCTAACAGGGTGCTTAAAACGGTGGGGACCATGTTAATACGTGCTAAATGTTGGGACTGTCAAGAGAAAACTCTTGTCGCCAAATGGAGCCAGGTCAGCAAGACAGACCTGCCTCATCCGTCTAGACCAAGGCTTCTTAACTGACTCGTGCTGTGGCACAAAACCTGCAGATCCCCACCCAGAATAACGTTTCTGAGAGCATAAAATATATGAGATTACAAAGGGGATCAGCTGTATTGAAAAAACATCAAAATATTCAAACAGGGCTTCCCTGGTGGCGCAGTGGTTGAGAGTCCGCCTGCCGATGCAGGGGACACGGGTTCGTGCCCCGGTCCGGGAAGATCCCACATGCCGCGGAGTGGCTGGGCCCGTGAGCCATGGCCGCTGAGCCATGCGCGTCCGGAACCTGTGCTCCTGTGCTCCGCAACGGGAGAGGCCACAACAGTTAGAGGC